TAAACTAGCTTCTCACTAGCTTACTTAGATTGAATGCTTCTCACGAACAACCTAAACACTCAATGCAATTCTCATGCAAAGAAAAAGAGAGAAAGTCTCATTTCATTTCAAATATTACAAACTGATTTGAACCATTGGGTTATGGCGTATTTATAGGGAAAAATTAGGGATTTAAATGTATAAAATATTCTAGGCCTTTTATCCCTTAACTATGAAGTAATTAATAAAAAATTACAGGTTGCAAATTAACATACCCTCCCCCTTTTGCGTATGAAATCTAATTTTTGTAGGTTGATTTTTCTTCCAAAGCTTTGCTACTTTTCACATGGGTTGTCATAAGCATTTAATGCTTTGTCTCCTTGGGTAAGCTAGTTGCTTGAGGTGTTTGCTTGAGCTACTTGGTTGATGACAAGCAAGGAGGTGAGTGAGCAGCTAGGTAGTGAAGAAGTTGCACAAACAAGTAGGTGAATCACTAAGCAAGTAGATGATTCATCAAGCTAGTAGGTGAAGCACACTCCTTAAGCTAGTAGAACTCTTCAAAAGTCTTGATGCAAAGGCAATTGAATAGAATTGTTTCTCCAGATTGATCTTCACTACAAAAAAAATGCAAAAATAGCGACGAATTTAACGACGGACTTATTTCGTTGTTAAATTAGCGATGAAATAGCGACAAATTAGCATAGTATTATTAATATAGTATTAATACGTAGCTTAATGCATTGATGAGCATAAATGGAATTAAGTAACACACTTTTTACTAAATGGAATCAAGTATTAATATAGTTTTATGTGAGGGTATGTACTGCTAAGAATTAAATTAGTCATTTGAGGTTTGTTGCTAGTTTTATTTGTTTATGAATAATAACTTTCATTCTTGGATGCAGATACTAGATACAAATCCACAGCTCTTTTTTCACCCCCAACATCAAAGGTTGATAGAACTAATATGGCATCACAAAGTGGAAGATGCTTTAGAGTTTGCTCATGAAGAACTTGCTCCAAGGTGAGAGGAAAATGTAATTATATTTCTTCCAATTCTGACATATTATCATCTTATGCACAATTATCATTTAGGAGGCAGATGCTAGTTCATTGGTTTAATAGACGGGACTGATGGATAGAATCGTTCAAGATGTTTTTTTTTTTTTTTTTGGGTCATGAATGACTATTGTACCAATTTTAATTATTCCTGCAAGTATGTCTTTCTTGATGAGTGGGAAAGGACAATGACATTGCTGTTGGAGATGTTGAGAACTGTCATCTTTGAGAGCTTGTAGACATGTCACAGCGTCTCAGGACAGCAAGTGAGGTCAATGCTGCAAAATTCTCACTAGTCAAAGCCATGAGAAAGGTCTATCTTTCATCCATCAAAGAGCATCACAAAAAGGACTATGCTATAGATTGTGTATTAATATATTTGGTACCATTTTTAATGATGTAAAACTTTACAATTTTATACTTTAATTTTTGTTATTGACATTAAAGTTTTAATATAATATATTTTAAGTATATTATTGAAGTATTATATTATAGGGTTAATACAAGTATATGATATTAATTAATGGATATAATTTTTTTTTTAAATTAAAAAATTTTAACAATTGACAAAAATCGTAGTAAATTTGTAGCTGAATACCTTCTAACGATAAAGAATGAAAACGAAATAGCAACGGAAATTTTCATTGCTAAATTTAGTGACGAATATTTTTGTTTTTAAATTGTAGCTAAATTGCACCTACAAAAATAAATTAGCAACGGAAATTTCCGTTGCTAAATATAGCGACGAAAATTTCCGCCGCTATTCCCTTATAAATTTCGTCATTCAAATTGTCGAGGAGAGGAAATTAGCGACGGAAAAAATTGCGTCACAAAATTCAAGTGACGCCGCTTTTTGTGACGGACTGATTCCGTCCCTGATCCGTCGCTAAAGCGTTTAGCGACGGAATTTTTCCTTTCTAGCGACGGAATTTTCCATCGCTATTTTCGCATTTTTTTTTTGTAGTGCTTCTTCTCCAAAAATAGATGTTGTACTCCAATTTGCTTGCACAAATGTGTTAAAAGCCTCTTGAATCTTTTTTGACTTGAATCTTGTTGTTGGGCCACTAGAGACTTTCATGGGATCATTTGTTTGTTGTCTTTGGGTCTCATCAGAATACATATTTTACAAGTGTTAAAAAAAAAAAAAAAAAAAAAAAAAAAAAAAAAAAAAAAAAACTGTAACGGGATTAAACGGACGGAACAGTGTCCGTCACATCAACTCCCCACACAACTTATAAAAATGACATTGTTTTGGACCAGGGCGCACAATGCATTGTGTGCCCTGGTGCACGATATAACGATTGTCACATTAGATATTTGGCTTTTGTTGCTAATTAAAGAAGAAATACTTTCCTTGTTAATTTTTATTGTTTAAATTCGAAGCTCGAATGAGGTATTAACAATAGAGAAGGAGATTGAAATTGGCAAGGTTTTCAAGTGGGTGTATTACTGTATTATGATAATTCTAGGAAAATGATGTCCTATTTTATTATTCATTTCCCTTACAAATTTGTGCTTCATGTGTCCTTCATGGATGTAGTGAAACGTATCGTTTGAGATGTATTCTCAATAATTCATGTCCTTTGTCCGCCTCAAATTAAGGTAGCTCAAATTAAGGTAGGATGTGGATGATAACTGCGAATTGTGATAGATCATAGGGCTTAAATCTTCTTATTTATACTTAAATTGAGATATTAAGTTGAAAAGGAAGAAAATATCCTTAAAAATTTTAGATTTTGACATGATTTAAATGGAAGAGTGACTGTCGTGATGAATTTTGGCACTAAAAATTATAGTTGTGGATAAAAATTGGTACTAAAACAATAATCGTGGATGAAAATTAGTAGAAATTAAACATGTAGATCAAAACTGTCATTTTATTAATATTCGTGGGACCAAAATTGATATTTACTTATTATTATTATTATTATTATTATTATTGGACATTTTAGTTTTTATTATTTTTTTCCTTTTCAATTCTGAAAAATTCTATTCTTTGTACATTATTTAAATTTCTACCTTTTTTTCCCTCGAAATTACAAATTCTTTCTCATAATTTCTTCTTTCTAACCAAAGCCTCAACGTGCCTACAATTTGGTGAGGGGAGTTCCTTTCCATAAAATTACAATTCCCTCCAACTATTGAATTGCAATTCCACAATCGGTGGAATTAGCTAGAATTCCATAGTAAATTACGATTTTGTCTTTATTATTATTAGTTATTACTAGTCTTTTCTATGCACGATGCGCAAGAACATATGTGCAATATTTATATTTTAAAAAATAACTAATAAATTTGTACTGATTAAAATCTAAATCAAATAAAGTTTATTTATTATATTAATCTAATATATAATGTCTACAAATATTATTATCATTAAAGAATATAAGAAAAGATATGGTGGATTCATGTGAATGGTAAAAGTAATGGAAAAGATAATGGAAGTTATAACTGTAAGGGCGTTTGGTTCACGGAATGTTAGATTACTTTAGGCAATGTTAGATTCTTGTGTTTGGTTTAAAACTAAGATATGTAAATAAGACAACATAATAAGTTAAATTGATTAAAATGTTCAAAGCCCAACATTAATAATAAGACAAGAGAATGTGAAATTACCTGAGAAATTAGAGGGTATCTCAATTCTCACATTCCCTTCCAATAGCTAAAAACATTAATGCGAAGGTTATCTGACATTCTCTGGGAAAGCTACATAACCTGAACCAAACATGGAATCTTATATTACCAAGCAAATATAACCTTGGTTATCTTATATAACCTGAACCAAACGCGCCCTAAAGGTATTTTTGTTTAAAAGTTTGTATATTACAACTCTAAAAATACAATGTACAAAATGGTTAGCACTAAAAATATGGACATAAATTAGGGATATAAGAGCATCCCCATTAAGGGGATTGTTCACATTTTTTTTAGGAAAAAATGCCAAACTTGGAGGAGAGAGATGGAGGAGAGAGAAGGGGTGGGGTGCTCCTGCAAAGATTAAGTTTTTTCAGAGTTTGTGGGTCCCACCAAGAGAGAGAAGGAAGTTTGTGGGTCAGAATTTTTTCAGCTTTGTTTTTTTTTTTCTTTTCTTTTCTCACACATTCTTCTCTCTCCTCTCTCATATTTCGCACCTAAAAACTTGTGCTAAAAACTTATCTATTGAGGATGCCCTAACTTTGATTGAGACTTATCAATGTTTTTAAATGAACAAATGGCAATTTTGGTCTCACGAGTATTAGTAAAATGACAGTTTTGGTCCACATGTTTAATTATTACCAATTTTCATCCACGACTATTGTTTTAGTGTCAAAATTCATCACACCGGTCACCCATCTGTTTAATATATGCCGAAATATGAAATTATTAAGGGTATTTCATCTTAGTCAAATTAAAATTCCAATTTGAGCATGAATAAAGGGATTTAAGCCTTAAGATCAATCCCAATTCACAGTTCTCATACTCAAATAAGGTAGGATGGGAAGAAGAACTGCGAATTGGGATCGATCTTAGGCCTTAAATCTTATTATTGATGCTCAAATTGGGATCTTAAGTTGAAAAAGACAAAAATACCCTTAAAATTTTTAGATTTCGGCATGTCTTAAACGAATGATTAACCGGCCTGATGAATTTTGGCACTAAAACTATAGTCGTGGATGAAAATTGGTACTAAAACAATAGTTGTGGATGAAAATTGGTAGAAATTAAACATGTAGACCAAAACTGTCATTTTGCTAATACTCGTGGAATCAAAATTAGTATTTGCTCTTTTTAAATTATTATTATTATTATTATTATTATTATTATTATTATTATTATTATTATTATAAAAGGACATTTTAGTCTTTATTCATTTTTTTTTTCTTTCAAATTCTGAACAATTCTAATTTTTTATTTTTTATTTTTTATTTTTTTTACATCTAGAGCGGAGGAGACACCCCCAAACTACTATATAGTTTATACTATCTCCAATGGAACCCCTCATACGGGGAACAATTCTATTCTTTGTAAACAATATTTGAACTTTGACCTTATTATTAAAATTTTCTCCACAATTTCTCCTTTCTAATCAGTGAGGAGAGTTGCGTTATCCTCTCATCAATTGTTTGCAGCCATAAGCCTTCTACCCCTTTTTTCTGCAAAGAAGAACCCAAAGACAGACACCAAAGCGAAGCCAGAGAAGCAAGCCGCAGCAATGTCAAGAGACAAATGGCGGCCACTGGTTGCTTGAACCTTGAAGAGAGCAATGGTGTGACCATAAGCCACCTCATTACCAGCCGAATCATATGCATAAGCTCTAACGAAATACAAGGCTGTGGGAACATCAGTCTCTATCATCCATTCAAAACTTTGGTTTTTTTCACTACTGTAGTAAGGCCTTTCAACTATGCTAAATTGGCATGTTTTGTCCTTGCTAAGGTCATCCACAGTTTTCCTCCATCCTCGGTCTGCCTGGCTTTCTGGGGCATAGCATAGTTTCACCTTTGTGGTCTTATATGACTCATCTACCCCTCTTTCATAGCTCTGGTTCAGTCCCCAGCTCATACTTATGCTGTCTTCTCCAGCTTTTACAACTGCAAATAAACACGTACTAGTGCGTTTTTAATTAGTTGTTTAAAACAGTGATTTTAAATGCCAAAAGTTATAACTCGCTGTGCTCGAGAGGCACGGTGTTGGACTTGACTTTGCCCCCAGCACCTACCTGGCACAGTTTTTACACTCCCCCGCACCTGCTAGCCTTTAATTGTCGAGATTCAAACCCGTGACCTAACTCTGCCCTTAGCAATGACCTGGTGGCTTTGACACCACTTGTTAGCAGATCAAGTATTTGCTGTTACGCCAAAAGTTATAGTTCGTAGTGAAAACACAACTTTACTTTTATATATTGTCACCACATGTTCAAGATGTGCTGGATTTAGCCTTTTAAACTTCTATCCAACAATCCCCTAACCGTCTGGTGTTGGACTTCACATTTCCGTGAGCTCGACTCAACATTTGTTATTATAATAACAATATAACTTAATGGAATATAATCTCAACTAATAGGTTTCAATTCAAGATCATTCCATTCTTATCAATTCTATGCATAGTTACTAGTATGCTTTCATCGCACCTGAAAATTTAATCTAATCTATCATGACTTATCTTCAGTTTTTTATGCATGCCTCACTTTGAAAGTTGCATAATGATTGATGGTATACTAGGTTTGGACAATATAGATCGCCCCAAGAAAGTAACTGAATCAAGGAAGTCTAAGAAGAATACAATAAAGGAGTTTAATAATGATTGAGCTTAGTATTCACATACATTGTAATAAGGATTGTGTTCATTACTCCTAATGTAGTAGGACTAGGGTTTATTACTCCGAATGTAACAATGATTCTCAATATAAGACAGTTTAGGATTCTTATTCTTAGGGCTCTAGGTCCAAAATGTGTATAAATAGACCTCCCTCCATACATGAAGAGGGGATGCAATTTTCACTATTCACAAGCAATATTATCAATACAAAATACATATATTCTCTCTATTTTATTTATATACTTGTTATTTTAATGGTAGTGTTGGCCAACAGTTGACTGCCCAAAATTTATATATAAAGAAAGTTGAAATGACAAAGTATTACCTTGGCCTTCTTTAGGAGAAGCAGAGACAAGCAGAGTTTGTGGAAGGGAAGAGAAGAGAACTGCTCCATAGCAAGTTTGTGCAAAGGTTAAGAAGAAAAGCACAAGAAATAATGTTTTGGAATTAAGATGAGATTCCATTGCTTGGTGCAGAGTGAGATGAATGTGATACTCTCAATTTATGGTCTTCAATTCCAGATTGAATGAATAGTCAAAGCAAATGCACAGCCTTTTGTGACTTTGCACAAATGTGGTCCACAAAACATTTTTTCCATAATTGCAATACATTTTCTTGAATGCGCCACTATAAGTACAGTTTGACATTTTTGTGAGGATATTTGCTTAGTTGCTAGAGTCAATACAATTGCGTAAACAATTTGAAATTTGATTATTGTTTGCACGTTGAGATTTGATTGTTTATTAATTACTTCTTTAATTTATTGATGGTTGAAATTTGATTCAACAGGCACCTTTAGTTATATTCTACATGTGATTTAATTTGTGATAGAATTAATCAATTTACTAGCCTCTATGATTCATGTTTAGATGTTCTGTCGAGTCGGAGTGTGGGGCCTTAAAGTTGGATTCAACCTTTTGGAAAGTATAAGAATTAATCAATTTATAAATGATCAAGAGCATTTAAAAGTTTTAAAGTCATGATATTAAAAATACTAGTTTTGTTTTTTAAATTTACATCTTAATATTTACCTATAATTTTTTAAATTCATTAATTATTGATTATTCATAAATTAATTAATATTATCATGCATAAAAAGAAAACGAAATCTACTTAATAATAGAACCAATCCTGTAGAAGGGCGTGAGGTGCCAGAGTAGGGCAATTTATATGTGGATTAGGGTCCACAATGATATGTGGATCCCTTGGAAAAGTTTTAATATTTAAACTTTAACAGATTTTGTAGTTTTTCGTTTCACATGTTTCAACACACATTTTAATTTATTTTAGGTATACAATCAATACTTAAGGTAAAAAATTTCATAACACGATACACCGAAATTCACAACACAAAACACAAATACATATTATATATTTATTTATTCTCATATCTAATTTATGTAGATAATATATGTCTTATAGACACATAATTTCATAATACAAGACATAAATACGTAAAATAAGACACACAATATGTTGTATGTTACACAACTAATAATCTATTTCAGGTACAGAATTCATACTCTTAATGTACACACAATATGTTGTATGTTACACAACTAATAATCTATTTCAGGTACAGAATTCATACTCTTAATGTACAAAATTGCATAACATGAGACACGGAAACGCATAACACAAGGCACATACACATGTTTTATATTTACTTTAGTCCAAGCACATTATCAATATTCTTAAAGTACATAATTACATAACATAAGACACAAAAACGCATAACACAATACAAAAAATAAAAAATAAAAAAATGCATAACACAAGACACAAAAGCGCATGCTATATTTACTTTATTTCAGGTACATAATATATACGCTTAAGATATAAAATTGCATAAAATGAGACACAGGAACATATAACACAAGACACATACACATGCTTACAGTGGTCGTCAAAATTGAAATTCAACACTATACCGTTTAAGATCAGAATCCACATTTCACATTATAGACCTTGATCCACGGTATGACGATTGCGGATGTCGGGTCAGTCGAGTTTTTCAAGTTGACTTGATAATACACACACCAAGCCCATCATCACTTTAGTAACTCTACGCAAATTATGCTGTGCAACCGAATGCACCATGCGCATGGTGATACGATGCAAAACGACGTCGTTTTGGTTAAAAAACGCGCGTCCCACTTAAAAAAGAGATCAGGTTCGATTCCCGGCAATAGCATTTTTATATATCCATAAATTCATAACTATATATCCATAAAATTCATAACTATATATCCACAAATTCATTACTATATATCCACAGTGAATGAATGAAGTAAAAATCCACAATGAATGAACTAAATATCCACAATGAATGAACTAAATATCCACAATGATTGAACTAAATATCCACAATGAATAACTAAATATCCATAAATTCATAACTAAATATCCAGAAATTCATAACTATATATCCAGAAATTCATAAATATATATCCATAAATTCATAACTATATATCCATAGTGAATGAATGAAATAAATATCTACAATGAATGAACTAAATATCCACAATGAATGAACTAAATATCCATAAATTCATAACTATATATCCAGAAATTCATAACTATATATCCACAATAATGCTATTGCCGAGAATCGAACCTGAATTTTTTTTTTTTAGTAGGACGCGCGTTTTTAGTCAAAACAACATCGTTTTGCATCGTATGCACCATGCGCATGGTGCATTTGGTTGCACAACATAACTATTGATTATCGCAAATTATGCTGTGGACTCGTGTCCACAATGCATTTTGGACACGAGTTCAAAACGACGTCGTTTTAAGGGAAAACGCGGTCTTTCAGTTAGAAAAAAAATTGATTTTGTCTCGCCGTTAACGGCATTAACGGCGTTATTCGTTTGTGGCATTATGAATGTATAGTTATGCAATTATGAATGTACGGTTATGGAATTATGAATGTAAGTTATGAAATTATGAACACAGAGCTCTGACATTATGAACTTACAATTATGAACATATAGTGATAAAATTATGAACATAGAGCTCTAAAATTGTGAACATAGAGTTTCGAAAATTATGAATTTACAGTTATTGAATTATGAATGTACAGTTACGGAATTATGAATGTACAGTTATGCAATTATGAATGTACAGTTATGCAATTATGAACACAGAGCTCTAACATTATGAACTTACAATTATGAACATACACTCCTATAACAAAGTGGTCTGAATTTTTATTTTTTCTTTTAAAAAAAAAAATATGAAAGAGAACGGTGCCTAACGGCACCGTTAACGATTGGCAAATTATTGCATGGACCATGTTCCACACAATTGTGTGAATCATGAATATTATGTACATTTTTAATATATTAAGGGTACATTATTTTTGTGCTAAAGGTACATTATTTTTGTATTGATGATACATTATATAAAATAATGTACCCTTAGTATATTAAAAATGTACTTTAAAAAATGTACTTTATGTACATAAATAATGTCCCCTTAATATATTAAAAATGTATTTTTTATTTATGATCCACACAATTGTGTGGACCATGGTACATGCAATAATGATTGGTCAACAATAGGAGATTTGCATAGCTTTGATCGCCCAGTTAATTATATTTTGCCGCAACAAGCTTCATTCCGCGGCATCAACCTTAGAGCATCCACATTGGTTGGGGAGAATGGGGGATAATGTAAGACTGATTAGGAAAGAGAATGTGGGAGGGGAGAGAAAAAAAAAAAACAAAACAAAAAAAAATTTAAAAAAAAAAAAAAAGTAATCAGACGCGTCAGGCGCGCCGACTGGCGCGCCTGACGCGCCTGGCTTTTGCCCAAGGCTGTGCGCGAACGCGCACAGCCTTACTTCTTTTTTTTTTTTTTTTTTTTTTTCTGACAATATCCTCACATTTGCAGGACAATTCTTTTTCAATTATCTCCCCTCCACATTAGTTATTATCTCATGTAAGAAAGAATTAATGCTGAAATCTCCCCACAATATGCACAAGTGTGGATGCTCTTAATTTAAAGTCTACACATTAGGATCTTAGTTTGTGGGCAGTATGTTGATCTTATTTGCAATTCATCTTGAAATCATTATGTACACTTCATTCTTTTCTCTGGCAGCATGGAAAAATAATAATTACCATGAAGATTCTGCAATAATCTGAGTTTTCATTTTGCCAGTCTAATTGTGTTTTATTCTATGTTATAGTTTAATCTATTCGAGGGGATAATTTGAGTATATGTTATGCCATTTAATTTTATGCTTTATAGGATAATTGGATAAATGATTTGACTCTCTTGTATGTGAAAGAGAACTTCTGTAATTTATCAACGGTAAACTAAAGACTTTAAATAATAATACAGAGTTAAAAAAAAAAAAAAAAAAAAAAAAAAAAAAAAAAAAAGAGGAACAGTTACAGCTAAATCAGAAAATTAGGAAAGCACCAATGAATATAAACCAAGCAAAAATAAGAGTGAAAATAGAAGGACTAGACTAATTCTTTAACACGCCTCCGCAAGATTGAGGCGCCGTCAGCGAGTCCAAGTTTGGTCCGGAACGCAGCAAACAAACAAAGACCAAGAGGTTTAGTCAGAAGATCAGCTACCTGCTCAACCGAACGAATGTAGCTAGCACCGGTGCAGACCACAACTGAACCCCAAGCTCACGCAACAAACTCTGAACCCACATAACTTCAGAAGCGGAATTGGCAAGAGCCCGGAACTCGGCCTCTGTAGAGGACCGCGAAACTGAATGTTGCTTCGTAGACTTTCAGGAAATAAGATTCGAGCCAAAAAACACACAATATGCCGTGGTAGACCGCCCCCCGTCACGAACAACACCCCAGTCAAAGTCCGAATAAGACACAAGAGAGAGAGGACAACCACGCCTGGAAAATAATCCAAAATGAAGAGTACCTTTCAAGTAGCGTAAAACGCGCTTCACCGCTTGCCAGCGACCCTCAGTTAGCGAAGCCATAAACTGCGCTAAGTGATTCACTGTAAATGAAATATCTGGCCTGGTAATTGCCAGGTACTGCAAGCGACCAATAGCACGACGGTAGGATGCAGGATCAAAAGGTGTGGTGTCTGTGTCCAAATCAGCCGACGGACTCATCGGGGTGGAAACTGACATCGCCCCCGTCATGTTAAACTGCTCCAAAATGTCAATTACATACTGGCTTTGGGACAAAAATACGCCAGTAGCAGTAGAAACTACTTCAACACCTAAAAAATGATGTAAAGGCCCCAAATCCTTCAAAGAGAATCGTGCTGCGAGACGACTGATAAAGGCCGTGACAAACGCTTCATTATTGCCTGTAATAATTATGTCATCGACATAGACCAGAAAGTACACACTGACAGTACTGGTGCAATAAATAAATAGGGAAGTATCTGCTATAGACTTTTTAAAACCAACAAATACAAGAAAATCAAATAATTCAATATACCAAGCCCGTGGGGCTTGTTTCAACCCATAAATCGCCTTTCTCAAACGACATACATGATTAGGCCTCTCCTTATCAACAAAACCTGCTGGCTGTTGCATATAGACTTCTTCATATAACGTGCCATTCAAGAAGGCATTATTGACATCTAACTGACGCAACCCCCAATCCCGTGGCAATGCAATGCTCAAAATTACATGAACAGTGACCGGTTTCACTACGGGACTGAAGGAAGAGAGAATCGAGAGACAAGGGAGGGAGGTTGTGGTTGAAGCTATGCTTTGCTGCTACTTTCATCCAGCGTAGAGGCAGAGAAGGCTTGAAGTCGAGGGAGCTAAGAGATATAAAGCAAGGGGTTGTTTGGTTCTGATCTCTTTCCGGTTGGAGCTAAACACATCAAACAACAAAGCTTATTTTATGAAGAAGAAGCTGGATATATTATGTATGTATAGAGAATAGGGTTTCCAAATATGATTTGGGCTAGGCTAAGATTGTGGAATTTGGGTCAAGTGTTTTTGGTTGAAGAATAATAAAATATACTCCTTGGGTTTAATAAATGGGTTTCAAATAATTTGGGCTTAACTTATTTTATAGATTTGAGGGAATAGAAATCAATTGGGCTCAAGAATTAAATCATTTATGCTAGGAAACTGATATGAATAAATACGATCTCGTCTCAAATAGACTTTTGGTTCAAAGTTTTAGGAAATAAATAATCGTAGTAATAAAATAATTTTATTTCGAAACTTTATAGAATAGAAATTTGGGATTAGTATTTTAGGTTGTCACAACACTGTCTGTCCACCAGATGAGTTCTCTTCACCTGTAAATACAATTTCAAGCATTCAAACACTCCCAAATCCTCAACAACACATCATAGATCAACAATAGATCACTTAATAACTCAAACACACCAAAATCTAGCATTTCTAAGCATTTCAACCACTAAATAGACTTCACAGAGTCCAAAATAAGCTTATAGGAGTCCATGGGGTTGTACCTCCTTGTTCTTCCTCCTTGTGTGGATCTCAGCCTCCACTCTACTCAAACACCACTTCCTTCACCTCTTAAACACCTCAAACCAATACAAACAACACATACACACTAGTACAAAACTGCACATACGCGACCATTGTACAATGGTCACCTATGCGGGGCTCGCGTAAAGTCCAAAGTCAAGGACTTTACGCGACCATTTTTAAATGGTCGCGCATTGTTGGTAATACGCGACCGTTCTTGACCAAGAATGGTCACGTATTGTATTTATTTATTTTTTAATTCAAAGGTAAAACGCGACCATTTTAAGCTAGAAATGGTCGCGTTTTCCTTTTTTATTTATTTTTTATTAATTACTCATTCGCGACCGTTTTTCAACTAGGAACCGTCGCATATGATTTTTTTTATTTAATTTATTTTAATTATAAAAGCTCTAGTTTTTTTATAATTCCTGTAAATAAAATGATAGATTTACAATTCTAAATTAAAAATAATGGCAGAAGAGAAACATAACTACAACATCAATCTGGAGCCTAAACACTTGAAGTTTCCCCCCCTAGTAAAGTAATGAAGAAACACTCCTAAAATGTACACCAATACAAAATCAGCTGGATAAGGTAAAGATAAGCAAAATATGGTCACTGATGATAGTTTGCCCCAGTCTCTGTCAAAATGGTCCCGCGTGTTCATCTACTTTCATTTTCTGTTCTTCTGAGTAACTTGTATAGGCCAAAGACGTTCAGTTGCTGCCAATGATATGGAATGAAGAATGACCAGTATAAGGGAGGCGACAGTTCCCTATCCAAATAAGGTAATGCCGCTGAGATAGAACTTGAGAGGCTGCAGCAATCATATTTCCAGCCAAACATTTTCCAAGGAGGGATCAATCCCATGGCTATAACAGATCACCACTTTGAAAGCTTTAATCTACTGCAAAAAAGCTCAACTACTGCAACTACTTAGACTCGTCAAACTTCTCTTCTCATCAGTTTGCCTAAACAACTTGTAAGGAGCATCATTTTATTTCCAAATTCAAGCATAGACACTGCAGATCATCAACATTAAAGTCTGCAGATCAGATTCAAGCAAAACCAACAGCTTCCAGTCCAGATCAGATCTCTTTTTTCTGCATAGTCATTCACATCCAGAATTAAGACTCAACTTCTTGTCTGCCTCTACAAGTCCTCCTGAGATAGTGCAGTGTGAAGGGAAAGAATGAGTAGGAATTAGGATGATGAGGTCAGGTTAATACCTCCCATTTTGAATGATCACTTCCTCGAGTCATAAAAGGTCGTTTTAACTGTAGCTCTATGAGGAAAGTACACTCTTCTAGATTGGCGAGCTGTCATGTTATTGCCCATAAAGAAAGGCCAGTTCCGATTGTCATGAATGCAATAGCACGAGAACCATGTAACTTAAAGAAATAACATCAGAAAATGAAAAGATAACAGTACTAAATGAAGTGTGCAATAGGGAAAGCCTGATTACATATTGCTTGTCTGATGCCTTCTCCTTATTGTTGAAATAAGATGGTGCTGCTGAAGTCCCACCCAAACTAGAATTAAACGGGAATGGCAGGAGACCCCTGAATCGAACATTATCCACATAACTAGGAACCAAGAAGGATGATGGGAAACGATGCCACTCACTCCCAACACATAGGGTAGCGCTTGAATTACAAGGGGTAAGGGTAATTAGTGATTATGCTCTGGAAGATTTCGGGAAAATAATAAAGGAGATCGCATCCTATCCCGAAACTCCAAGTTTGCAAATTGAAAAAAAATATAAAGCAGCTAAATATTACATAATTATAAGTTGTTTTTTTTTTTTTTTTTTAGAGGCTCATGATATATTTAACTTCACATACAATTAGAATGCAATTTCTCAGGATCTCACCTGTTCCAACATCATCATGATAACTCAAATGTTTGTAAATCTCTAATGGAGCAGAATAACCATTAATCAGAGAGAATGTCCTAGCGTGCGAGGCACATAAAATAAAGACAAGAGCCACAGGTCTGATAAATTTTGATATCTGTCATAAGCAAAGCTAACATTATAATCTCCATCACTGATTGAGCAAGCAACATATGCCTACACTCTATAGGAACAAAGAAGATTACCATAACGAGCACATTTGGGTCATTAGGATTATACTTATCATGGAATATGTCAGGAAAGCTCTCAATCACAGCTGAAGCAGCAACACAAATAAGTGGATAAACTGGATATAAGAACCTGCAAAAGCCAGCAACAAACAAGTTTTCTGCTTAATTCACTTTGCAAGTTTAAGATTTTAATAACAAGACTTCATGCTCCTATAATTTTTGTCATCAACTGGTATAACTAAGGTACCTCATGATGAGGCATGAAATCATGATGGGTCAGCAACAAACAAGTTTTCCTTGTAAATCACTTTGCAAGTTTAAGATTCCAGTAACATTTCATTGCTCCTATAATTTTTGTCAACATCAATTGATATAACCAAAGGTACATCGTGATGAGGCTTGAATCATGATGGTTTTAACAAATATGGCATTTCTATAAAACTCCTATATAAAGAATATTTGAAATTCAAAATAAAACCTTGTGGAACAAAGGTTGGACAATCAAAGCAGAGATAGTTACACTGTAGTTTTTCTAGATTGAATCTCAATATAAACATAATTGTTCATTTACTTGATGCATCTTCTCTCTCTTTTTTTTTTTTTATTTACTGCTTAACAGCTTTTAACACAAAGTCAACAGGTGACCTCAAATTGCTAGATGCACAAGCCTACTAAAAGAAAAGAATCAAACGAGGGCCAAGACAAGGTTTTTAATTGCTAATATAAGGCAAACAGGAAGAAACAGGGTTATGGTTAATGTTGGTGAATCACCAATTGATACTATGGACCCTTGTACACTAAGCATGGTTCCATAATTTTGTTTTAGTGATGAACACTTATTACAAAGACAATGAACTTTCACTGACAGATAGTTCCTTTAAAAATAGTGATAGTTGAATTGATTTGGAGATAATTATTAGACCCATTTGTTCTAGAGGAAACAAAGCATTGTGCACTGGGATCCATGATGTAATTTGCCATGATATGTGAGGTACTGAGGCTTTTTGGCAAGGTAATTTTTTTTTTCGTCTTCAAGGTTAGGGTGTAGCAGCAAGAATCTTAAAATCCATAAATTTCACACAGGTTTGGAAGGTCAGGAACTCAGCATTTCACAGATTGATTGCAAGTATTCTACCTGTACAGTTAAATATTACTTCACAAAAATTTGCAAGGCACCAAGGGAAAAGTACGAAACTTATAGAGCAACATAGACACAGGAAATTCTTCATAAAGGAAAACAAGAGGTGCGAGTAAACCTCATAGAAATATAAACAAAAACATAACTACTACAAGCAAGATTTATGAATTGAAACAAAAAACCTACCTGATCGGAGCCGGCGGATGTGGCGTCGTCGCAGGGCAAGGGAAGGGTGCAGATCGACGGCGTGGTGGCGGCTGTGGCGTCGGCGTCGCGGTGGTGGGTGTGCAACGGTGGTCTACTGTGTGTGCGACGATAGTTGATGGTGTGCGACGTCGTCGCGGTGGATGTGCGTCGACGGTGGTGGCCGGTGCGCGACATCGCGGTGGCCGGGGTGCGACGTGAAGTAGTGAACGGTGGGTGTGCGATGGAGAATATAGATCTGAAGTTGAAGAGCGTGTGTGGGAGAGGAGAATATCATATCTGATATGAAAGGGGATGACAATAGCCCACCATTTCTCTTAGAAATGGTTGTCCATTATAAAACAATGTTTTTTTTTTTGTTTTGTTTAAATGCATAAGAAATACAATAGGCAATCATTACAGATAACAACGGTGGTGAATTATTAATCATTTATTTACAAAATTGCTATCGCGAGTTTTTGAGTTAAGATTAGGCAACCATTCTTTCAACAATGGTGGTCTATGGTCAATCTTCTATGTTCAATTTTGTACTAGTGACAATGCCTAAGAAAAGATCTCAGAGATTGAAATCTAGGATAGAATCACCAATGATTGGTTAATGGCAAAATAGTAATTTGGTTGAGTTCTACAAAATATCAGGCAAACTTATGGTCTATCTTACAACATGGACCATAGTCTAAGAATGAGATTTTAAATAGTTTGGGGTAAAAAATACATTTTGTCAAAAATACTTTCTAAATAACCATTTAGTTTAGGTTTCTCAGATTTCTCCCGATTTCACTCAAATTGACTTTCGGATCAAAAACTAGGTGCGCAATGTACCCGGGAATTTAGGATTTTTGAAACAGAATATTCCCGGTGTTGAATCTATTTAAAAGTCTCTCAAAATAATTTATTCAAACACCGGTTTTATCACAATTTTTTTTTGTAGAGTGAAAACGGCTATTTTGAAATTTCTTAAAATCGAATTTATAAAATTAAATTTTGGGTTGTCACAGCTTTGGGGTTTTTGGCTAACTTTACTTTCAAGGAAACAACACGTCCCCGAGACGCAGTAGTGCAGTAAGTGGACAGACGAGTCCATGCATCCCAGGCGGAGGCAGCGGACGAAATGACCGTCTGCAAAACCTCAGAAAGGCTACCAAGGATGGCACTAAGAATGATCTGATCTTGTCTGAACCAGGCAGTGTAGGCAGGATTTAGCGTGGTGCGCGCAACATCAGAGTACTTAGCCGGAGCAGTAATGGAGCCCGTGACATAACCAAGTAGATCAACTCCGAGAGTTGACTCTCTTGTATGAGAAAGAGAACTTCTGTAATTTATCAACTGTAAGCCAAAGGCTTTAAATAATAATATAGAGCCAAAGAAAGAGGAACAATTACAGCTAAATCAGAAAACTAGGAAAGCACCAGTGAATATAAACCAAGCAAAAGTAAGAGTGATTATAGAAGGACTAGACTAATTCTTTAACATCTTGTTGGATTGTTTATTTAGTTCTTAAATCGGATATTCTATAAGTTCTTATAAGCTTATTAGTGGATTTTAATTGTTTGAATAAGTGCTTTAGATATATGAATGATTAAAATACATGACTAACTTTGGACGTCATACGGTGTAGTAGTTAGACAAAAGAAAGAACCAACTCTCAATTTGATTGGTAAAATCGAACTTAGGTGCAAAATTAGTTGTGGTAATGGATTCATGTTCATAGTCTCTATTTTCTATCTCTTTGTTTTTCCCCTTAATTTTTATTATTTTACCTTCTTAAATTCTCTCTATATCATTTTGATAAAACAAATTGATTCGGGTATGTACGAATGAATAAGTCCGCATAAATAATAAAGAGGGTAAAATAGTAAAGGCAAAGGATTGTAATAATATTTCCTTGATCGATGTAGGAATATTACAAAGGATGTTGTGTTAGAATAAGACATGGATTGTCAAGGCCAAGATAATGACCATTTATACAAGGAAAAATCCAGCAAATGTCTGAAAAGTGTGACGGGGTGTGAGACCAAGTTAAGGCCTACCAATTTGAGCTTGGAGATGCGCTTTGGGGTGGGAATGGCTAGTTGCCCTGCGTCTCCTATCTTGGTCTGGGTCGCTTATTTTGGTCCAGGTCGCCTTCTTGGTTCGGGTCGCTTATCTTCATCTGAATCGCCTATCATGGTCTATATTCTTGGTCACTATGAGCACCCCATGACCTGCGGTGAACCCCTGAGTCCTAGTCGAGCATAGGAGGTGCCCATAATTGACCTCAAGTCCTCGAGCTAGTGCCTAGGCGTGCTTAGGTGTTCCTTTGAATCATTACTTTCAGATGTTGAGTCCATGGGATGACCATAACCTTTTCTTGCCTTCATTGCCTCCTCTTTGCTTGAAGATGGGAATGGCTATTGGTTTGGGGACCGGGACTGTTCACTAGCTCGTATTCCCCGTCGGCACTGTGCTTCGCTTTCTTGGTGAGGCACTTCGTCTTTCATTGTTTGATTGGACTAAGTACATAGTTTGGTTCTCTTGACTTGAGTCACGTACACTACTCGGACTATTTTAGTTGAACTAAGTGTCTAAGTCGCTCGGGGCCCTTTCGAGATTATTCTCACAATTTTCTTCGTTGTACGCCTCTTGGGCCACTTTGTTAGGATTATGCTTGCCCCAGGACCCTTATAATTGGACTAAGGGTGGTGTCAGGATTCTCTAGCTTCAATCATGTTGTCTGGCCCACATACGCCTCTTAGAACCCTTTGTATGAATCGCACAACCATCCAGGACCCTTACAATTGAACTAAGGGTGGCATCTGGGCTCTCTCACTTTAATCATGTACTCCAGTTGGGTTGCCGCTCAGGTCTCTCTCACTTTAATCATGTACTCCAGCTGGGTTGCCGCTCAGGTCCTTTGAATGCCCTAGGCTTGCTTTTGTGTCTGGCCTAGTGCTTATCCGGTTCACGTCCCCCTTAAGGGGTCCAGACTTATCTCTTGGGTCCTCGGAGCACATCCAGGCCTCTTAGTCGGCCTGGACCACCTGTGCCACCTCTAAGTGTGATTCGTGGAAAATCTAGAACCAGCCTAATTGTTCTGCTGGCTGTTTTTTCCAACCACTTTAGAAAAGTTGTTGCTATTTGCGACCATTTTCGCTGGTAGTCAGAGATAGCGATGAAGGTTTTTTCGAATACTCATCAAAGTGGTCGAAACAGGCGTTTCAGACCAGATTAAGGCCAGTTCCGAAAATCCATTGATTTTCAACCGTGATGCTTAACATTTTTTTTTTGGGGGTGTAATTAAGAGTTTTCACCATCAAGCATAATAACAAATCTCTTTCATGAGTTGTAGACACATTTAAGGATGTGACAATTAGCTTGGAGATTTAATGTTGTTTCATACCTAAGGCCAAAGATCAATTCATTAACGTTTGGTTAAAGATGGATGGATGGATGGATGAAATTCCTTCCACTTAACCACTCCCCAAATTTCATGCATGTTTAACATGTCTAGACTTCTTGAATTATTTATTGAATTGGGGCTATATATTGAGCTAATTTGGGACCCAATCTTTAATCAAATGGTAACAACAACAAACTTGGAGTATAAAAGAGCATAGCATGCAAGAGATGGAGAATGATGAGTATCATACAATTATAATAAGTAATATACAAGTGATTGTATTCTTTGGTTATTAATATGTTAAATGGCGATCATGTCAGCGATAACCACAATTTTCTAAAATATAGATACAGAGATTAAGGAAACATTGAGGGAAAAAAATATCCCATCCAATTATAAACTTATGTTGTTGGTTGCTCTTCGATCAGACCTCATCTATGAGTCATCGGATGAGAAGAACTGTCCTGTCAGATTCTCCATAACAGCTAATTGCATACTTTCTGAAGGCTTCCAATGCCGTTTCCTTTGATTTATAAACCAGTTGTTGATCTGTTTCTGATCCAGTCCCGTTGATTCCGCCAGCGCAATCTTGTCTGCTTCCTGTATTTATTCATTATACAACAACAACATAACCATCCTAACAATTAAGGATATTCATAGTAAAGGCTAAACCATTTGATTCATGCTACACTCCACCCACTTGGTGCTGGACTTGGCCCTTCACCGGCCTCCGCCCCAACACCTACTAGCGTCGAACTCGTGATTGATACACTTGTTAGGATCAAGCATTTATCATTATGCCAAAAGCTACTACCTGTAGCGAAAGTAAAACTTTATTTCTTTATACCGTCACGTTTTCAAAAGGCATGGTGCTGGACTTAGCTCTTCAAGCCTCCACCCAACAATCCCCTAGCCACTTACAAAGTATTTGGTTGGAAGGAAGGAAGTAGGGAGGAAAGAAATTGTAATTCCGTAAAAAAAAAAAAATAAAGTGAGAATAAAGTAAGAATTCAAATTACATTGTTTAGTAGACATGAATTGAATTTTGAGGAAGAAAGGAAAAGACTAAAATGTCCTTGACAATAATAATAATAATAATAATCATCATCATCAAGGGTAATGTTGTAATTTCATCTTTTTTTTTCTTTCCAGCTACCACCGAATTGGAATTCATAAGGGGAGCCCTATGAATTTCAATTCCACAAATGGAAAGAATTGCAATTCCGTAGAATTACAGCTCCCTCCAACCAAACAATGTAATTGTATTCCACACATAATTTAGCTTTAGTTGAATTACAACTACTATCTACTAGACAAGTCCAAATTTAGTACTGGACTTGGCATTTCATTGACCTCCGCCCAATAATTACATAGACATATACATACTAGGGTCGGTCAAAAGTGGTAGACAAGTCCAAATATAGTGCTGGACTTGGCATTTCATTGACCTCCACCCAATAATTACATATATACATACTAGGGTCGGTCAAAAGTAGTAGACAAGTCCAAATTTAGTGTTGGACTTGGAATTTGTTTAACCTCCGCCCAATAATTACATAGACTTATACCTACTAGGGTCGGTCGAAAGTATTCCCTTTTAATTTTAGTCAATATCGTAATAGGTAGTGAATATTATGTAGCGATTTTACCGTAGGATAAGGCCACTTGTAGTGATCACTCCACCAATCAAGCAAAGTTTGCCTTGCCTCTTTTGGGAGCTTCCCTTTCTTCTTCTTCTTGGAGAATTCGAGTTTTAAGCTACTCAAATGGCTACCATACTTGCGCAAGAGTGTATTCTTAAGCTGGCGCTCTTCAGTCTTTGTGATTGATTCTTGTTGAATGTCTGTCTCCCCTCCACTGTCTTCCTCATCAGATGAAACTGCTCCACTCTCATCTGCCACACATTCACATTTAGTTTAATATACATTTCGTATACAAATAATGTAGTTTTAATATATTAAAAAGTTATCTTGCATTAATGGTTCACGGAAAATTTCGCCCACAAAATAAGGATGCATTTTTTAGTCACGACCCTTTTGGACCAATGTCCAATGCAAAGCGAATTATGGTCTATGTTATAACAATTGTTGGTTTCTATTATATCACTTAAACTTAGTAATGTTTTATCTTTATTTACTTTTAAGGGAATATAGAACATATCACAACATATTTTATAGAACATCTTTACTGAACCGAATCACTCACAACATATCATCCATATTTTATACATAAATGAAGCGTTATTAATTAAATTAGGCACGTAAAATGAGACGAGATAAAAGAGATGAAATATAGAAATGATCCAAGGGTATTAGGTAATAAAAGAGGCATGATTGGACAGAACAAGAAATAGTGTAATGGGATTTGACAGCCACTACTACTAGTAGTCTACAAGTAGAGAGAAAAAGTTTTTGAGAGACCAAATCAGAGCAGAAGAAGGGATAGTTGGCAGCGTAAAGCGCGGGAGTCCATGTGACACCTTCCGCCACCCGCCCTATCCGGGGATTTCCTTGCATATTATATATATATATATATATATATATATATATATATATATATATATATATATATAAAAGCTCAAATGCGGTAACGTTCGATCACACTATTAGTTATGTAAAAATGCACCAATAATACTAAAAAGCGTACATAATAAAATACATCAATACTCCACAAAATGCACCAACTTAAAAAAATACATCATACATCTCCGCACCTAATTGTGCGTTTTCAAACACTGTGTGAGACATTTATGCATATCTAATTGTGTATTTTTTGGTAATGCATACCTAGTGGTGCGTTTTTTGGTGCATTGATACATTTTTTTGTTGTGCATTTCCTAATACCATTGTTGCATTTTTGCATACCTAATAGTGCGGCCGCACCAACTGCACATTAAAGCCTGGACGCACTGGAACTTGACTATATATATATATATGAAGAAATGGACAACTACTACAGAAATGCACAGCAATTACTCTAGCTTCACGACTACCACACGAATGGACCACAACTAATACATGAATATACTGTAACTACTATATGAATGCACCGCAATTACTACATGAATGGCACTGCACACATCTGCGCGAGTCCTCCAAGAATGCATGGGAGTAGTTGTCGTGCATTTGTGCAATAGTTGCAGTACATTCCTTCGTAAACTCACATGATTGCATGGGAAAATCAATTTGCACCTTTCATATATAATATCTAATTCAAATAAGAATGACTCC